ATACTTATGTAACAGTGCCTACCGCCCTTAAACTGTTATAGTTTACTGAGGCTTAGCTTACAACGGATGTAAATTAGAGATTTCTACTTTCAGTAAAATGCGGCTTATATAAATATTTTAGACGAGCTGTTACCCGCGACGTCGTCCGCGTGGTATTAAAAAACATACGAACTATATAAATTACAAAAAGTTACGTATCCCTCGGGAACAGGACATTTCTCTGGGATGAAGCTAATCACATGTGTACTCCAGTCTTTGTTTTATATCTGTACCAAATTTCAATGAGATATGTTGAACCGTTGCAGAATGATCGAGTGAACATTAAAAAACTAAATTAATGAATCCCATGGGAACCGTAACTATTCCCGGGATAAAAAGTAGCCTATGTGTTCTTTCAGACTATGCTCTAAACCTGTGCCAAATTTCATGGAGATCCGTTCAGCCGTTTAGGTTACAAACAGTAACAAACATCCATCCATCCATCTAAACTTTCGCATTTATAATATTAGTAAGATAACCATGGCTATCATGTATTCATTTATTAAAGACAGTTTAAACTAAATTAAAAAAGAATTTGGCGTTGCGTTTATCTCAAACTGGAAGGTACACTGTCGTACTCTCGGTTACCAATTAACACTAAAATCATGTATTAAAAATTATGTAATATAGAGTTATATCTTTGAATATTCCTCAGCATCGTGGAGCGTCACGTCACGTCACGTTACGGTTGCGAAACGTATGGGAATGTCCTCAGATCGACAATGCGCTGCCCACAACGTACGTAGCGTGTGAGAATTAATAGGCGCCTCATTACGAGTCCGTGATTGTTCGGATGGCATTGAGATATGATTGTCGCATACAATTGAAGACGCTTGAGGGGTAGCAATAACAGCACTCAGAGTCATTTGGTTACACTCAGAGAAGAGAAATCTGCACCATGAGACTACTGTCAGACTCAGACTAATCTCACGGTATAGATTTTTCTTTCCTAAAGGCTCACTTAGTAGCCAAAAGACTTTAAGTGCCGTCATTACTACCCCTTACTCGTAACCCTAAGTAGTGAGGTAACCAAAACGCTATTTTCAGTACGATTTTATACTTTGAGGGGTAAACATTTTTTTGATAAAAAATACACACTTTAAGTAGCCTGAATGGGAAGTTTTCATTGATATATCTAGGAAAATGCATTTGTAGTGGGCCTAATCAAACTACTTAAGAAGTAGAGATATACTTAGACTTCTTAGTTATCTAACTTCAAGTTCGTGACATAACGTTAAATGAAGCGATGTAATAACATTAATCAAGAGTGAACAAAGTTTCAAGTACAGGATAATTCCGCGGCGAGCGTGTGAACAGACCAGCCTTCCTTCTACTTAATTGTTCAATTGTAGATGTGTTCAGCGTACGATAAGTAAATAGTCATGGACGCATGTAGTTATGGTGTTAACAGCGATTACTTAAATTATCACTTAGATTATTCTTGTAGCTTGTAAAATATTTTATAAACCATATAATTACTAAATTATGTATGTGCTAACCTTAAAAGTTTAACCAAATGTTTTAAATTTGACGAAAATACGTTTTCGAAGTTCAAATCCGGTAATAATAACGACGTAGCGACTCGTGCCGAGGCTCCTGAGGGAGCCCTCGAGCTTAGTTATTCATAAATGAACTTTAGGCTAAGCGTCATCTGCGCTCGGCTACTCCAAGACCTGTGAATCTGTAAATGCCTATTCAAGGCAAACAGTGGCCATTCAGTCACAAAAAAAAGTCCGAAATAGTGATTATTTATTACGTTTTTAGTAGACTTTAAGTATAAATTTTGCTACCACTTTGTGTAGCACAAATTAAATGATTTTTCTATACTTAGATCTTCTTTTACAAATTCAATGTCGTTTAAAGAAGTTGGTAAAGACTCGAAGCAAGTTATAAATTACACAAATATCGAGTGCAATGTTCGCTTCTTGTGTTTATAAGATAATGAACTCAGCCGGAATTATTTAGAAAAATCTTTGAAAAAAACGTGTGAATTTCAGCACAATTGAGAATAATGAAGAAAATATTTTTTGGAACTTCGTATCGGTTACTTTGATTTTTTGTGTCTTTATCTTGATTTTGTATGGACGTAATTAACATTATTTAATAATTATAAGTTGTTAATTTAGGGGTTTATTTGCTTTTTGTTTCGCCTGAACATTGACCTCAAATTTTGTTACTCTTAAAAAATTATTCAAATATCTCTATATTGTATACCTTTATTTTTACACGTATTTTTCATTATCTTAATAAGTTTTTCGAATTCAAAATTACTCTAACAATTTTTTGTCACGTTTGAATATAGCTGTATATGGTTTGTCATCATCATGTTTCTCCTTATCCTACTCCCATAGGGTCGGCGCAACGGGTTTTTGTCCTCCACATAACTCTATCATACGTCATCTGTCATCACTCCCATTTTGATCATGTCACTTTTCACGCAATCCATCCATCTCTTTCTAGGTCTACCTCTACCGCTGTACCCTTCCACACTCATAACTAACGTTCTCCTTGTAACATGCGATTCATCCCTCCTCATAACATGCCCTTACCATGCTAACCTTTTACTCCTTACTTCTCTACCACTGGGGCTACTCTCCAACTTCCTCTAATATACTCATTTCGTATCTTATCCATTCATAGCTGTATATGAGTAGTAAAAAATATATTTTAACTATTCATATGGTAAATTCAAAGAATGTCTTCCGACAAGTATATTGTAGTTATGTGATTGAAATATGAAAGAAACGCCTATGTACATCGTTATTCGAAATTAGTGACATTAATTTATTTATATTTATTATGAATGTATAAATATACATAAATCAAAGTTACTACATAAAAAACATTTTTGTGCCAACACTTTTTAATTTTTAGGGATTTGATTATTCTAGCTTTGTCAGCTTAGAGGTTAATCTACAGATCCTGCCTTCTACCTCTCTGTATCAAAATAGTTACTCTATAATTCTCGAATTTCGTATGAACATTTATTCGGCGTTCTTATGGTAAAGGTTTTACTACCTTCCGATATTTTCATCGTGATGAAACCAGCGCATATTTGCGAGTTCAAAGATATGTGTGATCAAACCCGTAGTGGGTCAGCGTTGTGGCCTAGTCACCTCTAACTTAGGGTAAGCTCCTAACTCTTAGGCCTAGCTTAATGGCGATATTGTAGAGTGATAATATTGATCCTCTGTCGTAATGAACATATCCATTCTTGGAGAGTTATTTTAATATCGGTTTATATTTGACAAGCTGTTGCTCGCGACTTCGTCCGCGTGAAATTAACAAATAGTAAAAAGGTATAGCTTATGTTACTCACAGATAAATTACCTTTCTAACGATAAGGAATTTCTATAATCGACCCCGGAGTTTTTCAGTTACTTCAAGACATACAAAAATACAAATCATTTCTATTATATTAAGTCTAGATTTAAATAGGAAGGATAAGAATTAATTCCTCCACCCATCTACCATCGTATGTTTCATAGTACAGTAGAACCTCGATTACTCAAACCTCGGTAACTTAAAAACCTCTATAACTTCAAAAAATAATATATTCCCTTCTTATCAGAGTTCAAAACCTCTACAACATAGACCCTAACTTAAAACCTCTATAACTTAAAATATTTTGTGTTTCCCTTGGACTTAAACTTATCGAGGTTCTGTTTTTGATTAATGTTCTAGAAAAAATAGTCGTATATTTTATCTGTTCCAAATGTTCATATTAAAACAGAATATTATTCATGGTTATTAAGTTCTAGATGGCTGCTATTAAATGACATCAGTGTCAAGATGGCCGCCGTAGACAATGGTTAAGGCGTTTTTATAGTGTGTATAACACAAAACCTTAATTGTGATTACTCGGAATTTTACGCAGATCTATGAGTCATTTCTTGGATAATAAAATTACTAGTTATGTTTTACTGAAATATTAACGAATTGATCTCTTTGGAGCCGATTTTAAAATTTCTTCAAATTTGAATGTTCACTTCAGAACGCTTAAAAAACAGTAACAGTATTTTTTAAAAGTTTTTCAAGTTAGCTTCTATGTAAATGTATTCACCTACCTATTGTTAAAATATTGTAAAAATCATGTAAAATTCTATTATTACCTCCCTGTTCTTACTTACATAGGGTCGGAGCAACAAATTTCATCTATCTATTTCCATCCCTGGTTATCACTTTCTTTTTAATTATCAATTCAAGCTTATGTTTGAGTTAAGTCATTGACAAAAGTCTCAATGACTACGTTGGCTAATACTTAGTAAAATAAACAGCATCCTGTATGTATTATGCAAATAACTTGAACACCTTAAAAGGCTTTCTCTAATAGCATACGAAAGCACTTAGCACGAATCCTTGTCACTTCATATTCGTCATTCGTCACCTCTGCATGTCACCATTGACCGTGGCCGTATTACCATAAACTGGACCGACGTTCTGTCACAAAAGCGTTTTAACTGGAACACTTTTTGTCGCCTATTGATAGACTTTTGTTTGACGTCCGATCAAGGTGTATACGTCGTTGTTTTGTTACGGTTTTTATATTGTATAATAGTTTGAGAATTTTTGTATTTTTTTGTTAAATTTAGTGAAGAAGTACTAACGAAAGGCTTAACATTTATGTTCATTACTTTAAATTACATTTTGTATATAATAACGATAAATAAAAACTACATTTTCCAAATAAAAATGTTAGTTTCACAAATCATGCTAGTATCAGAAATGCGTAGAGCATGCTACAAGCTGTTCGGTTGAAACCGTGCGTCAAAAATTGAACTGTCAGTTAAACTGTACAGTTATATACACACGCATACTTCCAACTGGACATTTCGACATTTCAATTAGAACAGAACTGACCGTCTGTATCGATTTTAAGTTGATTTCTGAAAATCTGGTTTTGCAATTCAGAAGGTAGTCTATTTGTCTACTATAAGCATCTTCTATTCTTTGTTCAACAGTTAGACGCGCAGCAGCGTTACACGTTGTTCCAGCGCGGGCTGTGGGAAGCGGCCAAGCAGATACCGAGAGATAGCATCAGGGATTTTGGCACCTACCGACAGTTGCAACTGCTCTCCACTATCGGAGCAGCCGCGCTGCCACCGGACCAGCTAGATAGAGTATGTATTACCTTAAAATATAATCTCAAAATGATGAAATACAGAAGACTGTAATCAGTTTTATTATTTACTGGAAGAAAAAAGGTTTTACTAAATTACATGTTTTTATATTTCTCTCTTATACGGAACAGTATTTTGTTAAAAATTATCTAATCTGGACTGTTTGGTCTGTTTTCCTCTATCGGTTCTTGTTTAAGTGAACAAAATAAACTCATTATTACCGCTTACAGTGACATCTATGAATAATTTTACTTCAATCTTTTCAGTATAATCGAATCATCAACGACATGCTAGCGGTGTACAACACAGCCGAGATCTGCGCGTACAACGAACCCTTCAAGTGCGGCTTACACCTACAGCCGCAGTTGCAGGAGATCATGTCTCACTCCCGCGACTGGGATGAGTTACAGCACGTCTGGACTGAGTGGAGGAGGAACACGGGTAGACGGATACGTGATTTGTATGAGCAACTCGTTGATCTGACAAATCAGGCTGCGAGGTTGAACAGTAAGTTTTGTTACGCCTATGAAAGATGAATAGCAACCTTAACAATTTAACGACATTGCAACTGAAAAATCAAAAGTTACTCAAATTATTGTTTGTTTTAAAAACGAAATGTTTATTTCTTTTATTTCTTCTGTTTCAGATTTCACCGATGCTTCAGCTTTTTGGATGTTCCCCTACGAGACGGTCAATATGAGACAAGAAATCGAAGAAGTTTGGGAACAGGTAAAACGTTATTTTTATTAAGATCATTGAATACACTTCTTTTAAAAAATGTACTAGACTTTCAGCTGCAATCTTAACTTGTAAAACTTCACATGTTTCAGATTAAGCCACTGTACGAGTTACTCCATGCATATGTTCGTCGTCGTCTACGAGAAGCCTTTGGCCCTGAGAGGATATCCAGATCGGCGCCTATCCCTGCCCATGTCCTAGGAGATATGTGGGGACAGAGCTGGTCAGGGATCGTGCCTTACACTCTGCCTTATCCTGGAAAGAACTTAGTCGATGTCACCAAGGAAATGGTTCAACAGGTACGTTTACAGTTTGATTCATAATTTAGTTTAAATACCAAAATTTCGCATTTAAACACGAGTATTTACGGACAAATTTTGTTTCTCTATGAGTTATGTATTTATTTAGATGGCATCGTTTCTTCCAGGGCTACACTCCACTGACGATCTTCCAGCTGGCGGAGGAGTTCTTCGTGTCAATGAACATGTCAGCGATGCCACCAGACTTCTGGGCGTTGAGCGTGGTCGAGCAGCCTGTGGACAGGCACGTGCACTGCCAGCCCTCCGCATGGGACTTTTGTAACCGACATGATTATCGGTAAGCACGGCAAAACTATACGATTCCATTGCGCCTAGCCGATTAGTCGCCTATATGTGACTGTGGTCGCCAATGGAAATTCCTATTTCAACTGGCGTCCACAGTCACGTATAATCACTGTAGCCGCCAGTTGTAATAGGAATTTAAATTGGCGTCCACAGTTGCTAAGTTGAAAAGAATAGGGTTTCTAAAACTTCTAGAAATAAAATCATATAATAACTTATTCGTCGAAATCATCAAGTCATAAACTACAGAGACAATACAATTTAACATGCTCACAAAAATTATCTTTTGCTAACGCCGTTCGATGTCTATTTCCAGTATCAAGATGTGCACTCATCCAGATATGAAAGATTTGATCACTGCTCACCACGAGATGGCTCACGTCGAGTACTTCCTCGCCTACAGGAACCAGCCAAAGGTCTTCCGTGACGGAGCTAATCCAGGTCTGTGCTTTTATATAGTCAAGTGTTCCTTTTAAGCGTGTGAAAATTATAGGAGAGTTACATTGTTTTTCATACTAAAGTTTGCATATACTTAGTGATCAGAATAAAAATGAAAGAACAGATAGTATTATTTAATCAACAAACCACAATCAGGCTAAGTAACATCAGAGCAAGCACACTAGCGCCACCATTCAAAGCAGCGTCATTACAAAGATCGGTATCACAGGAGCAATAGGTCACGAACAGATCGCCGGTGCCCGTCTGTCGTCGACAGGGAGGGTCTCCTATCTTCTCATTATCCTCTGTTAGGAACCCACAGCTGCGGACGACGCGGACTTTACCGTATACTGAAATGTAAAGCAATTTATTTGTATGGTATAATCATGACACATTATAGTTAAAACAAACAAACGCACGTGATAGCGGTTGTCACAGAAATAAGTGTCGATTTCTATACATTGTTTCTAACGCATTGGGAACCCTAGAGGGTCGAAAATTGTAAAATAAATGTGTGAATTAATTTCAAATATTGAGGTGCCTACAATCACCAGAGACCCACATAAAGATAGCTCAAAAACGACTTGTCAGGTTTTCTTTATAAACTCAGACCATATGTGGGTAATCACTTTTTTTTAAATAGAAAATTGTCTGACGACGCCAATTAAATTTTGAAAAAGCATATTTATTAGAAAGTGGTAAGTAGATTTTTTGTAATTCCTTGTCACTATGGTAAGCAATAAAAATCGAATGACAACTTTAAAAGCGGGACAGTACGCATACTGACTTTCCATCTTAATGGAGCGGCAGAACTTGGACTCTACTGGGGGGATATGCTCGATCGGGTCCTTGAGCGAGCAGTTAACAACCCCCAGACTGAATGGATCGAACTCCTCGCCGCAGCGCGGGTCGTAGGCGCTGTTGCAATCGTAGCAGAATATTGAACACGCTGAAAGTACAACCATTAGTATATTTGTGCTAATCAGTGCTAAAATGAGATAACAAAAACAGTACGATTGTTGTAATGATATTAAAAAAACTCTCAAAATGCACAAATGAATTTTTTTAAAGGAAACAAACCTTTTTTCTTACATTTTTTTCATCATAGTTTAGGTTACGGCCTAATTAAAATTATTGTCCTTCATCTTATATTCAATCTTACATTTTTTACTATTGATTTCAGATTTACATTTAACCCTTAAATGCATGATGTAGCATTTATACATCAGTCTTTTCTTCTATACGCAATAGACTATTTTGAAAAAAAAAAAATGTTTTTGTTTTTCCTTAATCTATGTTCATCACCCGATTCAATTTATGGTATTTAAAAGGAAAAAATCGTGCATTTAAAGGAAAACTAACTAAGGGAAGAACTTGTGATTCAAAGTACTGTATATATTTCATATTTTAAAGGTACTCTAATCCTTAGATACAAAATATGTAAATCATATGTTGATTGTTGTCCTCTAAGGTTAATTCAAACCAAGTTCACGTGCGATAATCCAATTGTAGTCAGTTGTGAGACTTCACGCAGCTGCGCCTGACCCACATTCATACTCAATTTTAATAACTTTCATTATAAATACTTTAATAGCAAGTCAATATTTATGTAATCTTTACATAATACAAATTAAAAGGCTCAGAGATTTCTAGAAAAATACAAAACAAAAAATTATGACAATCAATAAATAAATTGAATGTTTATGTATGTTATAAGTGTGTAACCATATTTTTTAATCTTCATATTTTTTCTCTTTCATAAGCGCTTTTTAATTCTTTTTTTTACTAATTATGCTTGAAAATTGATAACCTAATGCGATGGATTAATATAGAGATGGAGGAGAAGGAAAACATCATTTTAACAGTGGTAGTGCCCGCTTTAACATCTTAGCACGAATAGGCCGGCACGCCCCCAGTAATACTACGACCACACAGAAGACAGGCGTGAAATGGAAGCAATTCCGTGTTTCGGCTGATAAGTGTGATGCCGGAGGCCTAATTTAAGTCCCTTTCTTTTTACCCCCTTTTCTTATAAGGAGAGGATGGGAAGAGGAAGTGGATTTGATGGAGGAGGAGATACATAGGAAGTGGAGATATCCTCTTTATGTGCGTCTCCTCCTTCATCGGATAAGGTTAGGCAACGCATCTGCAGTTGCGGATGTCTATGGGCAGCGGTCGCTTCGCCATTTTGGCGGATTCAGGTGGCCGCTTACTCGTTTGCCACCTTATGTTATAAAAAAAAAACATCGCGATACAACGTGCATATGTCTGCGTAAAATTCAAAGATATGTGTGAAGTCAACCCGCAGTGGGCCAAAGGTTGGCTATAGCCTAGTCACCCTAAACTAGTGTAGCCTCCGAACTTCTTAGTAAGGACGTATAGTGATTGAGTTACAAATATTAGTACATGAACGTATGAAAATTGTTTAAGCATCATTGGAAATAGATTATTGCATTACACTATTTGATTTAACGGCGTTATAACTTACCATATTTAGCACTTCCCACCAGACATACAAGAATCACTAACCATTTTGTATTTGTAATTGACATCGTAGACAATGTACGTCACTAGCACACACTCACTCGGTACTGAATTACTTGCCGATGATATTGTCACAATAATTGAATTAGTAAAAGCACCTTGTCCAGCAGTTAGATGCAAGATTTGAGTTTTAAGAGGCAGGACTTGTCAAGCGCACGTCAATATAAAACGAACAATGAGAAGTTCTATACTTGCTTCCTTATGTGTTCGTGTGTGTTAAATTGTTTAAGATAAACTACGTTCATACAAACCTTTTAACTATGTTATCAGCATGATATCCATATGTATGATTGTCATCTTTACTCCTCAAAGATTTTTTTTTAGTACAACGGCTTTGTCTAGTCCGTTTCTCTATAGTCAAAGGATGCAAGGGTATAAAAATTTATCAAATAATACTAGATGTGCATTGAATTTATTTGTTCGAGGTTTTCTATCGATACTATAACCAGATGATGCAAATGTTATTAAGTTACACTTTTTCGGATTCTTTCCTATACATACTCTTTTATTTATTAAACTGATAGTAAATATATTCCTATTATTAATATAAAATGACAATATTTAATTAGTTTTGGTGCAGCATTTGCGTTGATGCGTCATTTTTGAGCTATTTTTTTTTTTTACCAAAAAATTGATACGAAGTCGTCGTGGCTCGTCAATATTACGTTTGCGTGATGAAGTAGGCTTAATTTAGAATATGAAACAGCGCGTTAAAATCAGTCAACATGACTCGTCAGTCGCGTATTACGAATACAATGTTTGCCACGTTGACACAATTTTTATAAAATGAAGGTATTAGTGATGTTCAGTACTTGTCGATAGCTGCGAGGATAAGGAATATTTTGCTTATTTCTCTATAGTACTGCTACTATCAGTCTGCTAGATCTCATCTCCTAAGATTCAGATAGCAAATAAATCTTATCTTACTTCTTACTTATATTACAAATGCAAAAGATGGATGTTTGTTAGAGTTTACCGCCTAAATTGCTGAACAGTTCTCGATAAAATTTGGCATTTGTTAGAGCATAATCTGGAAGTACACATAGTCTGCTTACTTATCTTTTTGTAATTCTACGTGGAAGGAGTCGCTGGCGAAAGCTAGTTATCAATAAATAGTTATAGATGTCGTTTAATGGTAATTATATTTTATCTGATATTAAAGTAAGGTTCCTAAGATACGAAATGAGTATATTAGAGGAAGTTTGAGAGTAGCCCCCATAGTAGAGAAGGTTAGGAGTAAAAGGTTAGCATGGTAAGGGCATGTTATGAGGAGGGATGAATCGCATGTTACAAGGAGAACGTTAGTTATGAGTGTGGAAGGGTACATCGGTAGAGGTAGACCTAGAAAGAGATGGATGGATTGCGTGAAAGGTGACATGATCAAAAAGGGAGTGATGACTGAGATGACGTATGATAGAGTTATGTGGAGGACAAAAACCTGTTGCGCCGACCCTACGGGAGTAGGATAAGGAGATGATGATGATGATGATGATGATGATGAATAAAGTAAGGTTACTATAAAAGGTGGTTAAAATCAGTAACTACACAATAGTGTAATATATGTAGCAATGAGTTTAGTTTGTATTAGAACAGCGAACATTCCAGATCACGACCAGGAAAGTAATTTCTGGTAAATAACGTTCTAATGGGTAATCTATAAAGCTGTCACTTATAACGCAAAATAATTGCTATTCAATTACAAACACTGCGTAAAACTCTGTTAGCCTAGTAACGTAATTTCCACAGAAATGCGTTATGTTTATAACTACCAAACATTGTGCAAGAGACTTATTTATTTTATGTTGAAACGTCGTAAAGTGACATCTGTAATTCTTAGAGAGCGCACATACCTATGGTTATTCTGTCGGACAACAGTTGTGCGATTGTCGATTGTTTCGCAGCCCATCCAACTGTTTAGTTTCACAACCACAAATCCAGTAGTGAGCGCACCTCCATACAAGCTCATAGGAATCAAAGCTTGCGATAATTTAGTCTAAGGTGTGCGTGTACTCTTTTGTCTTCTTAAAAACTGTTTTCTGTCACTCGTCCTTTTTAAAATCGGATCAACAAAGCAAAGATAAAAATGTCTCTACGACTAAAATCCTTTCGATATTCGTTAAGAGAATGTGAGTGAAATGATCATGTTTGATACTAACTTAAACATTTTAGTCGCATTGAACTTTAAAAAGTCAATCACAGCTTCAAGTTAACAAAACTAATTTTTACTTGTAAATTATTTTACATTTTTATTTATATACGTGCGCTTTAGTTTTGAAGCTTGAGAGAAAATCTAAATGGAATTTAATTTTTTATATAAAACATTTTATTGATCATTCAATTGTTATGGCGAAAACGAGGAAAGGTTATAGTTGCGTGTTGTATTAAATTTTGATACATTTGTAACATGCAACATGTTGCGTAACAACATTCTTATATATCGACGAATGGTGTGCGCAAACGCATTATCTTGCTGATATCTGGCGGTAGTCTTACATTGCTTTATGAAAAGTATTCATTGGTAGTCAAATAATTACAAGATATAAGGCGCATTTACTAGATATAGTTATTCTAAAATATTTTTTGGAAACTAAGGTACAATTAATGTTAGAAACACATGGCTTAAAAGTTAAAAAAATTAACCAACCATGTATTGACTTAAGTATTTTGAAATAGATTTAAAAATATACAATATTCCAATTTTGAATAAAAGTATAGCGGTGATTAAAAATAGCTACGCTTTAAGTGGATTTGTTCTCAGCTAAACTTTACTATATTTATAGCGTGGTCATGTGCAATTGCATAAAACGTTACGTATAACATTTACATAATTACGCGTAAATTCGACACTGAGTCTCGCTTCGTTGTGAAATGTATAGAACGCGTGCCAACTCACAGTTAGACACGATTAAAACTGTGGTAAACTTGGAAAGTTTTTTATTTGTAAGTCGATAAATGGTAATACGCCTAATTTGTTCCTGTATTTCCTCTATCTATAATACCATACTCAGAGTTATTATGTGGCTACTAAGGTCTCTTATCAAAGACTTAACATCAACTACTACATTACAATCTGTTATGCAACCCATGCTCATCTCAAGCTTGATTAATGTCAAAGAATAGTGAATCTACAGAAGTGTTCATCTTAATGTGATTTTTTTAGAAATAATCTTCTTAAATATTTCATTAAAAGACGTCCAGAGTGTGTTTAAAACCATTATTTGACAATATATCTTACAGAATATTTAAAACTTACAATCAGTACAATAAAACATGTTTTTTTGTTTCATTCTAGACCAATCCGATTTGATAATAGTATGAAATACAACGTCTAGGTTACATCTAGGGGGTAGAGGAGAGGATACCAATAATCTGGTCCTGTTCGAAGTAGTTAGTTAGTTTAAATTTTTGAAATCTTAGGAGGGTAGAGCCGAGCATCTGGGCTCGTCCTTGCCCAAAGCCGACGCTGATGTGTATGCATTTTTATTAGTGTTAAAACAATTAAGAGTATTATTCAAACTACGCTCTACTCTAAATAATCGCTTAAACATGTTTCTTTTTCTGTCCACTTCACTAGACAAGGAGGTCAAGTTCGCCGACGTTGTCCGCGATATTCATGTCTTTGTATAGCAACGCTTTCGCTTTCAGTTGCATCTTATAATGTTTTATTCATCTATGTTTGTTTTAGAAACAAACATTTACTGACCCAGACAATGTGGGTGAAATTTAATGTTATTTTTAATAACGTTTATAAACTTGACAGTTGATATTATAGGAGCTAATCCTACTTATATGAGGATATGCTTAAGAAAGGAGTGGATTCAGATATGACGGCTGATAGAGATGTATGGAAGAGCAGCACATACTGTGCCGACCCTCCGTAAGTAATAAGAGTATGTTGATGATGATGATTTTGAGCTAATCCTACCTAAGTAATAATAAGGAAAACTTGTTTTTTTAGCCATTATCCGATTGCTTTTTTAATGTTATTTATAAATATTCCTTGTCATTTCAAAGTTAGTTATGTTAAAGTTATAGTTTATGCGTGTTTTTTTTTACAATAATTGTTGAATTATTGTAAAACTTGTCGGGATTCGAACCTGCGACCACTTTCAAAGTATTCCGTTCAACTGAACATTGCATTGCTAATTATTTGGTTTGATATACGTATGTTATCACACTCCTTGCGTTACTATTAAGCTTTAATTGCCATTATTTACGCTAGCTATTTACCGAACAAAAGAAAACCTGTTAGAAGGAAGTTCATACATAACTTTTACATAAAATATTTGCAATACTATACTTGTATTAAAAATCTAAATTATTTACGTAATGATTTAGTTTTATAATTATTGAATCATCTTGAGTAAATCATTTACATTAACACCTTTATTAAGATTTTTACAAAAGAATATATTAGCAGCCTATGTGTTCTTCCACACTATACCTATTCTCAGTTATGCCAAACTAGCTTTCGCTAGCGACTCCGTCCGCGTGGAATTAAAAAAAACTAAGTAGCCTATGTGTTCTTCCAGACTATACTCTACATCTGTGCCAAATTTTATCGAGATCCGTTCAGCAGTTTAGGCTACAAACTCTAACAAACATCAATCCATCTAAACTTTCGCATTTATAATATTAATAAGATTAGTAAGATTTCAACGACATCCTCATTTACAATATTTATAATTAGTCAACAGTAACTATGGCTATCTATTAGATTAACTCTGTAGTTTTTAACGTGCAGTAACAATATAAGCTAAGAGTGGTAAATTATTACATTTTTAGGAAGTCTTCTGATCTACACACTTTCTTCACATTTCGTTTTCACACTAATCTCGAACTGTTTTATTTGTATCGTAGTATTTCTAAGAAAAATGTTAACGCCACGTTCAAGGAAACGTACTTGTGGTCCAGTGGAGCTTGTTTCCGGCACGCACTTCAGACGGGACCGGGTTCACTTCCGCGTGCGCGCGACTTTCTCTAACTACACGTTCGTGTTTATTGAATCTAGCTTACGCGAGACAAACATTTTATTCACTTTATTGAATGCTACGTTAAGCTATTACTATATCCAATTCTTAGGGTTTCAGATATTAAATTGGACAATCAATAATTATAAAAACTATCATACTAACATTATAAATGCGAAAGTTTAGATGGATGGATGTTTGTTAGAGTTTGTAGCCTAAACAGCTGAACGGATTTCGATGAAATTTAGTATAGATGTAGAGGATAGTCTGGAAGAACACAGAGGCTACTTACTTTTGTGTTTTTTTTTTAATCCACGTTGTCGGAGCTATAATGTACATAGCTACTATCAATTAATATAATTGATTCGGTTAAAGATGAATTTATATGATTTTCAAATTATGTCATTGCTAAATCTTTGTTTTACCAAACAAAAGGTTACTTTCCATCTCTACTGAGAGATCTCTTATTTCAAACAACAATAAAATCATGTAAACATCTCGACCGACTTCCACAAATGTTATTTGAGAAACAATGATATAATTGTGCGAGTATTAAAGCCGTGAGAATACCGGAACGAGATGACAATAAATGATTAACTTAGCACAATCTTGGTGAACAAAGATACATATTATAGCTCTGCAATTAAATTAATAATTCCTAAAATTAGAATAACAGACAAAATAGATTTTTTTTTATAATATAAGGTGGCATACGAGCAAGCGGCCAGCTGAATCCACCGAAATAGAAAGAGACCGCTGCCCATAAACATCCGCAATTACAGATGCGTTGCCTACCCTTATTCGACGGAGGAGACGCACATAAAGAGGATATATCCCAATGAACTGCGTCTTCTCCGCCGTCAAATCCACTTTTCTTTCCCATCCTCTCCTCTTAAGAAAAGGGTGGATAGGAAAAGGGACGAAAATTAGGCCTCCGGCACCACACTCATCAGACGAAACGCGGAATTGCACCCACTTCACGCCTGTCTTCTGTGTGGTCGTGGTATTACACCGGGCGAGCCGACCCATTCGTGCGAAGATGTTAAAGCGGGCTCTACCACTTTTTAAATAGATATCTCAGTGTCAAATCATTCTAGAAATTATGCATCTTTGTACAGGTTTCCACGAAGCTATCGGCGAGACAATCGCTCTCTCTGTCGCCTCTCCGCGTCATCTGCAAACCCTGGGTCTGGTGCAGAAGTCGATCGACGACACGGCGCACGATATCAATTATCTGTTCACACAAGCTATGGACAAGCTGGCCTTCTTACCATTCGCGCTTGTGATGGACAAATGGCGCTGGGATGTCTTCACTGGTGACATCAGGAAGGAACAATACAATTGTCATTGGTGGAGGCTCAGGTTTGTCCATTGAGTTTATAGAGGAAAAACATAAATGTGTCTTTAAATTTGCGATGTCAATTTTTAACGTTTTAAATCACGCTTATTAAAGTTTTGAGAAATATTTCAAATTCCTGATCAACTTTTACAACAAAATTTAGACCGCAGTAAGAGTTTTCAATGGCAATTTGACTCCTAACATCTCTATAGGAGCGTGCGCACACTTGAAACTAATCTATCGCACAACTGTTTAGTCCCGCTTTGATAGCTATGAGCTTATATGGAGGTGCGCACACTGCTCGATTTTTAGTTCTGTTAATAAATAGTTAAAATGGCTGCGAAACAATTGACAATCGTACATTGTTATGCGATAGTTTAGTCGTAGGCGCATATAAATAATGAAATTCTATACGATGTAATACGTCATCAGCTTTAACCAGTCAATCATTCTCACACTCGTCGAGGTTTTAACTTGTTTTTTTTCTAAGTCGACCGGAAAATGTATTACATAACTGTTACCTTGTGAATTTCTTTATATGGTCTGAACTTTTCTCTTTATAGACATCAGGAAATAGTTTTCATGGAAGTATTTGATGGGATGTGGTCCTATTTATGTGTTATTTTGATTCGTTTCTTTGATAACGCTAATTGCTTTATGTAATACGATTTCTTTGCGTAACTACATTAAATCTAATCCAATTGCATGGGATATTTAAATAATAATGCTAATATTATAAATGCAAAAGTTTAGATGGATGGATGTTTGTTAAAGTTTGTCGATGAAATTTGGCATAGATGTAGAGGATAGTCTGGAAGAAAACATAGGCTATTTACTTTTTTTTTAATTGAATACAGACGGAGTCGCGGACTAAAGCTATATTATAAATTTTGCAATCTCAAATTGGAAGGTATTTTTATAGCAGTAGAGTTCGTTGAATATCTTTCCCGTTTGCTTTAATTCTTACTTCCTACGATATTTATATCAAAATTATATTCATTAAAATGTGTGACAAGTCACACGATGTCTCCAAATGTAACACAAGTTATTCAGTAACATGGCATAATACACACGGTCCGCTGCTCTGGGAAATAAGCGTTGCCTATTCTAGGTCAGTAACCATGAGTGCAGTTACTTAACTTTATTATGTTCTAGAAGTTACGGATAGGGCCTTGGGCAATTACTTCATACACCTTACTCAAATTATAAAAAAACATAGGCTACTGAAATCTTTTTTTAATTAACCGCAGACGTAGTCGCGGGCGATAGCTAGTTATAAGTTTAAATATAGATTTTAGAAAACACACCTGTGTTTATGTTCGGAGATGTTTTGTACGTCAATTTGCTTGTTTGTTGTAAGTACATGTTACAATTGGTTTATGTAACTTGTAACATCTTACGGAGATTGACTAAGTGACCTGATTTACTGCAATCCTCACCTATATCATTAACTTTTTATGTTACCATAGATGACAGCCAATGGGTGTTACATGTTACAAAGTATGACTAAAGTAATCGCGTATAACCTCATTTATGTTACAATGGTGACACTAAAGTAAACATACTGAGTGATTATTTAGTAACCGCAGGTTACAAAAATACAATTCTTGTCTCAATTTCGTACATAAAAAGCGGTGGCTCCTTTATACGTATTCATGAAACAAATTTATAATATTGGTATGATTTTCTAAAGTGTTATTTTTTCTCTAGGGAGCAATATCAAGGCGTGAAGCCACCTGTCCTTCGTTCAGAAATGGACTTCGATCCCGGCTCCAAGTATCACATTCCCGCTAACATTCCCTATATAAGGTAAGATTTAATTATTTCTATGGTTTGAGGTTACATTACATAGTTACAGGCCTAATTTAAGTCCCATTATCTTTACCACCCTTTTCTTATAAGGAGAGCATGGGAAGAGGAAGTGGATTTGACGGTAGAGGAGATGTATAGGAAGGGGAAATATCCTCTTTATGTGCATCTCCTCTACCGTCGGATAAGGGTAGGCATCGCATCTGAAATTGCGTATGTCTATGGGCGGCGGTCGCTTCGCCATTTTGGCGGATTTAGGTGGCCGCTTGCTCGTTTGCCACCTTATGTTTTAAAAAAAAAACATGAACTAAAGATCAAATGATAGAGAAATTAAAAGTTCAAAAAGTGAAGCACATCTATTTATAGAAATATAGTTATATACAATATTAATCTTAGTAATATTATAAATGCGAAAGTTACGATGGATGGATGAATTTTTTTTAGAGTTTGTAGCCTAGACTTCTGAACGGATATGGATGAAATTTGGCATGAATGTAGAGGATAGTCTGGAAGAATACATAGGCTACTAACTTTTCAATACTTCCGCGTACGGAGTCGCGGACGAAAGCTAATTATAAATATTTATACATAATGAACGCTAAATAAACCTTATTAACGCTACAGTAGCTTTGTGTATATATCTATCTTTAATGTTTATGCAATGCAGTATTACCTCTATTTTATGACTAGCTGTTCCTGTTTATTGTTTACATTTGACAAATTATCAAATCAATGACAAAATATCAAAATGACATGACATGACAAACTTTGGCAATCTCGCTTCCTTGATGTTGGCAGTAACTTATGGTCTCTTTCCCATATAGGGGTTTTTATCCAAAATATTTACCCCCTAAGTTTAATGGCATGAAAATATATAGCCTAAAGCGTGACGTAAGTGTAGGGCTTTTTATTAGAAAAAATATTCAAAAATATGCTGTAATTGCTGACATCTTAGGCAACAAAGAAGTGTGTGTTTACGCTTTATTATAATAGTATAGATTACAGTTATTCAACTCATTATAATTACATACATGTATATAATTATTTGTATATGTAGGTATAAAATTAGAGCATCTGAGTATTACAATCACTGACTGATCTTTTATATGCTTACTCAACTCTTTAGTATTACCGCACCGTAACAGATATTAAATGTTATGTGATTTCGTAATAATATAACTATTTTATTAAGTTACGTTCAGTGATGACAACTTAAAGATGCTTTGTAGTTATTTCATAGGTTAAAGAGCAACCTTCTTTGTATATTTCATTGATCCCGTTGTCATTATATTGAACTTCCGTAGGTTACGTTTAATAAATAGTAAGGAAAAAATATAGGAGTCTTTGTTTCTGACGGTACGTACTTGCCGACGTTATGGGGTGTAATCTAATTTGTTATACGGTGTGCTTTTATGTAGTCAATACGTAGTTTTAAGACGAAACCAATAACCAATGAACTGACCCGCTCAATACGAATGTTACGATACGTAAGATTACACTGTTTAATGTCGGACTTTAAACTAAAATAATTCGTACCTACGTAAGTATCGAATAGGAAATTAAACCAATTAAAGATATTTTAACACATAATATTGTATTTAATACTTTCGGGCATTATTTACATCATTCAGATAATCACACGCGCATTTCAGTCGTCAAAATAATAAACAAATACACAATAAAAAAAAACTAAACACAAAACAACATTTAAAGCTACAAATAATATAAAAAAAACAGAGATCAGTTCTTAGTGGTGGAACTCGTGCCCACCCTCGGAGCTACCGAAGTGGCCTCCGACACCTTCCGAACTTCCGAAGTCATGACCTCCATAGCTTTCGTGGCCTCCGAAGGAGATTTCGTGCTTTTCCTCGTGATGCACAATCGGTACTGGTACCTTCACCGGGTAAGGCACGTGCTTCTCAACCGGGTATGGCACGTGCTTTTCGATGTGAACTGGTACGGGCCTGTCGACTGGAACTTTGACTGGAATAGGCACTTTCTTCTCTACCGGGTACGGGATGACCTTCTCGACGGGGTAAGGCGCTGGCACTGGTACTTTAACCGGGTAGGGCACTGGTTTCTCAACATGAACTGGTACTGGGTTGTCAACATGCACCTTCACTGGATAAGGCACTTTCTTTTCAACGGGGTAGGGCACTTTCTTTTCGACAGTGTAGGGTACGGGTTTTTCGATATGCACCGGTACGGGATGGTCTACTGGCACTTGTACGGGGTAGTGAATGATTTTTTCAACTGGGTAAGGAACAGGTACTTTGACTGGGATCTTCACTGGGAAATGCACTTCCTTCTCAACTGGATATGGGTGCGGCACATGTACTTTTACTGGCACGGGGATGTGTTTCTCGACGGGGTACGGCACATGTTCGTATACTTTCACTGGGACGGGCCTGTCGACGTGGACTTCGACGGGTACGGGTACGTGTTTCGTCACTGGGTACGGTTTCTTAATATATTCAGGTACTTTGATGTACTCCTTGACGGGGAAGTGGACGGTCTTCACAACTGGGTACGGTTGAGGCACATGTACTTTTACCGGTACCGGTACGTGTTTCTCTACTGGTACGGGTATATGTTTCTCGACCGGGTACGGTATGGGAACCTTCTTCACGATAGTGATTGTTTTTTCCTCGTGCGTTTCATGGCCGTGTTCACCTCCGAAGCTGCCGCCGTCACCTCCAAAGCTGCCTCCTTCACCTCCGAAATCGTGACCGCCATATCCATGTCCAAAATCGCCTCCGAAACTTCCATGATCACCACCGCCATATCCAAAGTCTGAAAGACCTCTCTTGTCCTGCTTCTTACTTTCTTCTACTGGTTTTGGTTCAGCCTTGTTATCCTTTTCTGCCTTCTCCTCTGCCGTGGCCAGGCTTATAGCCACGGCCAAGATTAAGGAAGATCGCTGTAATAACAAAACACTAAATTTATTTGAATTCAAATTAATCTTTTTTAATCAAATCAATAAAATCTGAAATAGAACATCGCCATTTTATGATAATCAGTTTACTTATTGTTTTATATTTGAATACTAACCAAAATTATCATGATCGCTTAGCAATGTTGTTCAGCGAACGTTCTTACGGAGTGTGTTGTGCTGCAGAGCGTTGGCCAGTTTTATACCAACAGTTTCGTTTCACAGATCCAACGTTGCATACTTTCGCCAGCACGGAGCCACATAGATGTGTGCGTTCACAATTTGTTGTTTATACATATTTTTTGCTCATTTTGAACGATGGGTAACTCGGTTAATAGGGTATCGATTTTGTAAGATTAACTAATTGTCGATTTAATTTACGTCCTCTATGAGCTGAGTATAATTCACATGTCATGTTAATAAATGTAAAACCATAGCATTTAGATGTACCGTGAGAATGTTATTGCGATGTTTTATTTGCTCTAAGATTTTTTTTATGGGAATATAAATAATGGCTTTAACGTTTGTAAAAATGTGTAACAATTATATAGAAGAGAGACCTGTTTTGGTTAAACTAAGAATCAGTACAGCATCATAAAATTATGATTCTGCCCTTAACTTGCAATACAAGAAGGTTGTAGTTAAAGTGAATGAATTCGGATATGACGGCGGACAGAGATGTATCGAGTACATTGGTGTTCATATAAACCAACCGCTTTTCTTTTCTCTGTCAGTCTTCTGCTGTATATTAAAAAATGTCGAAAACCAATCTAATTTGTCACGATTGTGTCAACATATTTTATTGATATTAAAATACCGCGTTAACCCATATTCGTTAGAATTAAACGTTCGAGCGCCTTTTTCTTACCAAGGCAATTGACTGTAATTTTCTTAATGGATATATTTTCTAATCATAAAATCCGTGCAATTTTTATAGCCTCGCAGACTGCTTGGGACATTTCGTCATATGTCCTTCAATATCATAAACTATCATACTAATATTATCAATACGAAAGTTTTGCTGGATGTTTGTTAGAGTTTGTAGCCTAAACGGCTGAATATTTAATGAAATTTGGTACAGATGTATATGATTGTCTGGAAAAACACATAGGCTACTCACTTTTGTTTTTTCTTTTAATTCCACGCGGACGGAGTCGCGGGTGAAAGCAAGTTAATATATAAAGCTTTGTCTTTTTAGCGTATTACTTTGTTTGTATACTATTATACATATCGAATTTTTTAGTTGAATGGAATTATTTTATCACTTAAATGCACTGATAGCAGACCTGGCATTTACATAAGATTATCAAGAGAAATTAACCCAGTTTTATATGTCTATACACTTTGATTTTGATGTCTACATAATGTAATATTTTACCGTCTATAATATATGTTTTAGCTGTGTCATCTGACTAATGTTATAAATGGAAATTTTCGATGGATGGATATTTGTTAGAGTTTGCTGCCTAAACTACTGAACTCACCTCGATGAAATTTGGCATATACTCGTATGTACATATGTAGAGCATTGTCTGGAAGAACACATACGTCACTTTTCTTTTTTTAATTCCCGTGGAGTTGCGGGAAAAAACAATTAGATTGTGTGGTATTGAAATAATTACGGTCTTCTAATACCTATCGATTTAAAAAACTCTGTCTCTGTCAGAAAACACATTTACAATACGAATGTTAGAGAGATGCCATATGGGTGTAGCGGTTTCGGTGCGGTGCCGCATCGTAGCTACGCAGTTGCTTTAGTTCCACGTACATTGGGTGTTATTATTTGTCTCTTAACAATTACATACGCACGTTAACATCAAATTACGGGTTTTATTACTGTTTTAATTGTTTTATCTCTAGTAGTATGGTGCTCTTACTAAAAACTGCTAGCGTAAAAATGAAAATCGTCTATTCGGGTCTTAACTCGGAGTTATAAGTCAAAATATTTATTTTACGTCATCTATAGTATTATAATAAAGCGTAAACACAAACTTCTTTGTTGCCTAAGATCTCAGCAATTACAGCGTTTTTGAATAGTTCTTTTTTTGATAAAAAGCCCTACACTTAC